CTACAAGTATTTCTGAAACTTCTCTGGTAAGAGAGAAATAAAAAAACCCAACAGAAACAAAACAAACAAAAACCAAACAACATCCCACTTTCAGTCAGTCTAAAGCCTCACTAGGCTAGGAGAGAGTTAACAGTCCCGAACAAATGCCTCATTCAGCAGTGTAAGGCAGACAAACATAAGACTTCACAAACTCCAAAAGAGATTCAGGCGGATTTATCTAGAAACACGAGAACAATTCCCATGGCGCACTGAGATGATGGTCTCACTGCTGAGGCTAGCTGTAAGATGTGCCAAGTTTGACAAGCCTTTCCATCAGAGAAATGTTGACCCCACAGCAGCCATTTCTTCAGTCCAGAAAAGTTCATTATGACCATCCAATCTAATCTGTAATGCACAAGCCACTGCTATCTCGCAATTTAGTTCCCGCTTTAAAACCAGAGCTGCAATGACCAAATTTCCCTTTGAGAAAGGAAAAATAAAAAAAATCTATATATTTTGCCTTCTTAAATTAAGTCACCCATGATTGAAAAATCCATCCTAGCTATGGATAATTCTAGTGGTCTGATGGTTAATCTCATCTCCACTTTGTGAATTATTTTTGGATTGCGAGCAAGTTACCCCATATCTCTTCTGGGGCAGGGATTAAGCTTCTCAAGTCTATTAGCAAAAATATTTTTTTCAGACTCATTCTCACAGCTCTTCTGAATTCCCTCCTATTTTCAATGTGCTTCTTGAGAGCTAGACATAGTATTGTAGGAGTCACTGCAAACACACATAAATGCGACTCACATTTGCTTTCATGCACAGAATCACCGTGGAAGCTCACGTCCGCCTGACTGCCAGTCTCCCTTACCTTTTCACAGTTCTAGGGCATAGTTCTCCACTTCTGAAAACAAGCACCAGGATGTATTTTGAAAGTGCCAGACACTCTCTGTTTAGCCCCAACACAAGCAAACAGTCTGTATCCACTCTGTTACCGTGCTCTACTTTCACTAACCATTCTTTGACATAATCACAGACAAATTTTGGGTTAGAAATAACTTTCAGTTATTGAGTACTCATAAGCTTTACTAGCAGTAACTTACTGTTCTTTCTTTCTCTTGAAGCACATAAAACACAAAGAAAGAACCACTCACAGGACCTGAAGAGCAACACCACCTTACTCAAGGTGACTTAACTGTACTGTATACAGTACACTGTGCACTTTGGGACTGGATGCGTACAGAGTGTCCACTTGTTCTTCTAAATAAGGAGCTATTTGGTCACACCTGATTATTTACACAGTTGTATTTAATTCATAGGTCATATGACGCATGTCAACCAACAACAACAAAAAGATAAACAAGCAACTGTTGCCAGGGTTGACTTGGCCACTGTATTCCCTAGGAGCCTGATTTCCAAAAGTTCCCATGCTCTCAAGAAAATGGAAACAAGCTCACAGCCACAGTGGGGGCGGGGGGGAGGAAGAGTTTAAAGAGCCAGGACTATTTCACTTACATTCATTACATGCTCTTCGTCATTCACCCTTAACTTCTCTGAAGAGTCTCATAAGCACAGGACACTTCCAGTGGGCCACTGGCAGGCACACGGCTGTGCACTAAGGTCATTACGTCCCCTTCTTTGGCCCAACCACCCTCTTACTTGCAGAGGCTGAAGGCGAAACAGATTTTAACACTTCTTAGTGACCGAGCAGAAAACAAACTAATGGCAGTTCTCCTTCACTGGCATCTGTGTACAGACAAAGCAGCATCCATTTTGCTGCAACTATGTCTTCTGTTGGAAATACACCATGTAAAATTTCAAGGAAGGGATATTAAAACACAGGTCATGAGCAAATACTCAAGCTACTTTATTTTCTAGGGGGTTATTTGTTTGGGGGTTTTGTGGGTTTTTTTTTTTTAATCCTACAAGATCACATAAACATGTCTAAAGAATGGGTCCCTAGTCCCCCCAAAATGAGTGTTACTATTAATTAGTTCTCACAGATGCATAAGCAGACACACTAAAAATGTTAGACAGACTATTATTTAGCACTAACACCAGTAGCTTCCAAAAAATCTGTGTAGGAAGAAACTCTCAGAACTATTTCATTATGGAGAGCTTCTGAAATATTGGATGCCCACATACAAAGTATTTGACACCCAGTGTCACGAAACTGACTGAATTAGGTACTTCAGAAACAGAAGCTGCTCCTATTTATTTCAAAGGCTGGGTCTAGTACATCAAAAACTCCGTGTCCTACAGCACCTCAACAGTAGTCCAGCCCTCACCAGCTCCACTGTGGACAGTCTCATGAAGCTATCATTGACCTGACACATGATAGGACTCAGCTTTTCTGAAAAGCAGTTCTGGTTGACTACTGACCGGGGAGACCTGTATCACAACTGTTTACCCCACAGTGTGACACGAACTTGTCTGGACTGGAGTCCTGCTCACAAAGCCCTGGTCATGTCCTGTAGCTCACCAACCACCTTTGTCCTTCTGAAAGCAGGAAAGCAAGTCTCGTACCTGAGCTTTGACTATGTAAGTACAAATATCAAATAATGTCAGAGCACGGCTTGGAAAACAGCCTACAAAATCCACAACCAAAGCTGTCACAATTACAATTCTGACAGACAAGAAATTTAGCATTTGAAATATTGGGAACTATGCTGCTAATATCAGGTTATATAATTAGAAATAGAACAAAAGTACCATTTTTGTGAAGAGTTTTAAAATTTGGCTTCCTTCCCAAACAGAAAAAAAAACAAACTGATTTAATGTTTCCCAAACAGAAAAAATCAAACTGATTTAATGTTTAAGACAAAAGATGTAAAAGTATTTCTTCGGAGAACTTTATGTTGCACAATCAATTACAGACATGGATTTTTTAATATTGTTTAGAAAAAAACAGTAGAAAAGATGTGGAAGAATTTTGTAACAAAGTATTTCAGTTTAGAACATGGAAGACCTCTCCCAGCTTTCTCCTCCAAGATCCTATCGGAATTAGCTCAATTTCACAAGCCATTACATTTCATTGAAACAGCATTCAGCTGAAGCTACTCCAACAATGTCCGTAGGGGAAAAAAGCTGATAACCTTCTTATCAATGATAAGAAAGACTCTTGTCATTAGTAATACTATAGACTTTTCCCTGAAAAAAAAATAGTTTGGATTGAGAACATCCCCTGCTTATTCTGAAGCAACTGCTTTGTATTATTCAGTACTTTCTCTCTGCAAATAACCGTTCCAAAGCAGTTTTAAACGGTGAAGCCAATGTACTTTCGTAACAACTCTGATTTGGATATAAAACCTCGAGTTTGACATGTATAGCGAGGAGCAAAACATATGCTCCATTTCAGAAATAAAACTGACTGAGGCATGAAGCTAATGTAGAGTCAGAAGACACACACCCCCTCCTCTAGCTGCCTGCAGCCTGTTCCATCCCATGCAAATCCCTGGCCAACACTCAGGTTGCCTCCACGGCTCCCAACCCACTTGTTCAGAGCTGGTGCTGGACACCTTCCAGCAGAGCTAGCTAGCGTTCTGCCAGCCTCTGCTCCCATGCCAACTTGGAAAATAGGCTGAAACACACTAGCCTTGCAGAACATGCACACAAATGCTGCAGCAAGTGGTCAAAACAAAACTAACGAGGTGCAGCAGGGTGTAGAGCTGCCCAGCTCCAATCTAAAATCACCAATCATCTAAATGGATTTTGGGAGGCAGACTGCAGTAGCACAGGTCATTTCAAGTTCACAGAAATCCCAAAGGGGATAGCAGAGGAAAGTGCCATCACCAGGGAAACATCAGCTTGGAAGGGAGCACTCAATGCCCAGTGCTCCTCCTCTCTGCATCACTGAAGGCTACAGCCCATGCACCAGTCTTAAAGACAGAGTACATCTACACCTGGGAACTCATCCTGGACCCAAATTTACTCTCACACAAGACTTGGACATTGTCTGTTTGTAAGTCAAGCCCTTGCTAAGAGACCTCCCTCAGCCTGGGCTTGGGGAGATGAGGGGAAGATTGGGGTATGCTTCACACACACCCAAGCTCCCAAAACAAGCACGTTACCACCCACTTCTCCACCAGCTGCCCAGAGCTCAGTTCTTCATAGGCATGGGGCAGACACTTCGAGGCAAGGGATATGGGGCTTTGCATGCCCATCAGCCCTCTCTGCCTGCTCTGGAAGGGGAACAGCAGGCACACATCTCCTCTGCTTTCTTTGTGCTGTCTGTCCCTTTCCATCTGCCTAACCTAGGACCCATCCGCTGTATTTCTGCAAGCAACTACATGAAGCCAGGCTCTGATAGGGCTGTTCTGGAAGCGAGGACAACTACAGAGGAAAACATTGCATAGGAGCTTCACCCCATACAGATGACGAGCCACAACAGAAGTGAGGAGCTGCAGAACCCCTCTTTGCTGCTTGGCACCACCCAGCCACCCCCAGCTGCAGGACCGGGTCCCTAGAAGCTATCACAACACACACAGGGTTTCGGAGCCACAGGAGCAGAGACTGGTGTCTCTGCTGCACCCACCTCTCCCACTGAAGGCCCAGCCTCCTGCACGCTTGATCCCCTTGGGCACTTGGCTGAACGCAGAGCTAACAACTCGCTCAACAGCAAGGAAGAGAGCTCCCTCTCCTAGCACAGCTCTACTGAGGAAGCCCAGAGAAGAAACAGAAAAATGCATTTCAAGGCATTTTAATTATATTTAAATCTGAATGCTTGAAAGGAAAAGATGACTGAACACAATGGGGCCATATTTACAGTCATTTTGGCAGCCACAGCTGCTCCCTAGGATTAAACGGTTGTCTTCATACATCTAGCTGGGTGGTGGCCCTTTAGATGGTTTGCAGTTCTGTTGTCAAGATCAGCTACATAAGTAAATAGCAGGAACTGGTTTCACCAGAAAAACAAGACAATGCTGCTGCCTTCCCAAAGCAAAGCTAGGATTCAGCACACAGAGACTCCCTGTGATGTAAGAGCAGCAAGATAGGGAGGGAGGCAAATCTGTACAGAAAAAAATATTCACTGGCAATTTTTTTTCCATCAGAAAGACAGTAAGAGGACTCAAAGTTATCTCAGAAAGGCCCTGCCAAACCCTGAGTACCAGTGTGACTCAGGCTTCAGAAGTAACATGAAGTGATTTAAGTGTATTTCCTGTTTATAAGACAACCAGCTGAAGGTGGCATTAAACACCTGAGACTGGAAGTTTGCAATTAGCAATAAGGCTAATGATTTCAAACAGAATTATTTATGTAGCTGCTACCAAGTACCTTTGAGTTTGTTTGAAACAAACATTTAAATTTTAAATAAGAAGGTTAAGCAGGAAGTTCAAGAGATTTAGACACCTGTATAGAAAAACAACTTCCCCAACTCTACAACAACTAAGGTGCTCATCAATACCATCCATAGCTGGCAATAACTTCTTTGGACCTGGTAGTAACATTATGCCTGTAATGCCTCTGCCAGAAACCATGTTTCACATTGCCTTGCCAAGGCACAAGAAAAAGCCACAATCACCAGAGTCTTATGTGCCTAGCTCCTTTTCATTATAGGGAAAATTTGTGGATCTCTACCTACTTCCCTGACTTCAAAGATGCAACATTCAAGCAATCTTATTTTTTTGTTTGTTTTAGTAATTTTACCTATGGCATGTAGAAAAAAACAACCAACCAAAAAAAAAAAAACCCTGATGTATCAAGTTCTAAAACAAACGTAATACAAATAAACCAGGTGTGTTTGTATGAACTCTGCAGTTACTATTTTAACAGTGTAACTCAAGCGAATTTGACACCCTCCCAGCACAGTTATCCTTTAGCTCTGTCAATTTGTCTACTCCCTGGTTTAATTTTGAGTCCTGTAACTACATTGTCCAGGTTTCAACAGTCATAAGTGTACCAACTAATATGACGCAATGGCAATTAAAAGTTCAGTCAAGATGATTGCCTTTTAGATAAAAATACATTCCTTTCTGAACAGCAGTTTCATCTGACTCATATCTCTTCCTACAGCACGTGTGTGAAACAATTAGCCAACATTATTTGTTAAGAACATCTGTTCCTTAACCTGATATTTCACTGCAGGCTGCCTAAGTAAGGCAAAAAAATTCAAACTGCTTGTCTTCAGATTTACTTGATCCATTTAATAATTAGCAGAAAAAAATCCAGGTTTTTTTTTTTTGGGGGGGAGGAACCTCATACAATAAAGTAACTATAAGACATTACCTCTGAACCCTTCTTCCTTAACTGCAACAGAGTCACACCAAGATTGCTTAATACAAAAGTAGCCAAACAGAAGCAAAAGAATGGCCTACCTCAGCTGCACTTTTCCCTCCTTACCTTGCCAGAAGTGGACACTGTCATCTCCAATTTGTATTAAAAGTTTAGTAACAGTCCCCAAATACTGGTCAGGCAAAAAGGTCATGAAGAAAACAATCTTCTTATTACTAAGAGTAATAGCAAGATATATATTGAATAAATTATGACTCCTCAAAAGATTTACTCGACTTTCGCTTAGCACTTCAGATATAATGTCTGATCTGTGTCATTTACTTTTCAGCAACTCACAGAAGGATATATAGGTACTTTGGATCAGGACTACAGGGAAAACTTGAAGGACCATATT